ACTTTGGAATATTTATCCGCGATTATTCAGAGTTCACTGGGTGCTTGCACTGGTTTATCAGAGCTGTCATGCAAAAATGCCAAAAACAACTATGTCAACTTCGTGTTCTTGAACATATCACTCAGTTTTGGCACTGCATTTCACTTAGAAGAACCAGACACTAAATTAACCTTTGCAAAATTCCTTGTGATCCGTCCACATCAAAGCAGACAAATGGCTAGCTCCACGCTATTTAACCGGCCGGCATGTTTTAACTGGACGGTGCCGTCATGGAGATCCTGAGCCGGAGCCTGCAGAGCATGCCGGCGAGCCCTGACGTGAGCGCCTATTTCTCCGGCGACCGCGGTGGCGGAGCTGGAGCCACACGCGCGGCCGTTGTCGCCGCTTCCTCCCGGATGAGAAGCCGACGAGGGAGGGGAATCAGAGAAGGGAGGAGACTACGCCGATTGCTACCTTGCATGCTCGACCTCGCTGCTGCTTCCTGCCGCCACTGCCGTCGTCGGCGTTGCCGCCGCCGTCGCTTCTTCTTGGACGGGAAGCCGATGAGGGAGGGGAAGCGTGGAGGAGAGAGGATGTCGGCGACGGCTGCTACCTCGCGCGCTCGACCTAGTCGTCGCCTGGGCACACGCGCGGTCGCCGCCGCTTCTCGCGTGGGCGCCGATCTGGAAGCGACGAGAAACAGCGAGAGAGAGAGAGGAGGAAGAGAGGGGGAAAGGGAAAAAAAATTCTGTGCAGACCGGCTGCAAACCCCGCACCGTGCATACCCAATCCAGATTGGCGACACGTGGACGAGCGAGTGATCCGACGGCGCGCCCGCACGGCTCCATCCGCACCAGGAGAAAGCCCAGCTCGACTCGCTCACGTCGACTCCCACGACTAGAACTAGAAGCGCATGGACTGGCTCCACGGCTCACTCACGTTATTTTCTCTCTGCTTCCCTTTCCGCTGCCGCCGCGATCTTCTTCCCCATCTCGCCTCCATCTGTCGGGATTGCCTCTCCTTGGCGCCATCGGCTTAGCCCATAATCCTCTCGCCTACTACCGCCGTCACGGCCTCTCTCCTGGGCCCTGGCCACGAGCGCCGTCGGTGACGACGGCAGCGGCTGGGTTGGCTAAGGCGAGCACGAACCGTGTTCCCCTCCTCATCTCTCCTGACCACGAGCATCGGGCGTCTTTGGTGGAGGCCGCAGCGGCTGGGTTGGCGAGGACGAGCATAAGCCAGAAGACAGTAAAAGAGTACAGTTGAGTCACATAGTAATTGGAATAAAATCGAAATCCATTCCAACTTGAGGAACGATCAAAGCTTGTTCAGCTTTATCATTGACCTGTTGTGCAATTTCATCATGCATGATCATGGTCATCGCCTGGAAGTTCTGTGTAATCTACAACACACACAGATATCATTGACCTGTTGTGCAATTTCATCATGCATGATCATGATCATCGGCTAGGTCCCTCCTCCTGTCATGGTGGCGGCTACGGTGCGCATGGCGGCGATCTGGCGAAGGAAGACGAAGCCGGGAAAAGATTCGCTTTTGCTGGAGCCGAGTTTGCATACGGCATCCCTGCCGCCTCGAAGCGAAGCCGGCTGATCGCTCGAGCGGGAGCCGACGCGAGCGAGCCGAGTCGGGCCTTCTCCTGGTGCGGATGGAGCTGTGCAGGCGCGCCGTCGGATCACTCTCTCGTCCACGCGTCGCTAATCTGGATCAGGTATGCACGGTGCGGGGTTTGCAGCCGGTCTGCACAGAATTTTTTTCCGGGGGAAGGAGATAGGGCGCTGACTGTACATCCTGACATGTAGGGCCCACGTGAGTCTCACGCTGACTCAGCAGCCACGTCGGATAAAACCGGGGTCAAAACTACCGAAGAACCTAGAGTAAACGGTTTTATAAGTTGAGGGATGTCTCATATCTGATTTTGTGGTTGGAGGATGATTTTATAATTCAATGACAAGTTGAGGGACTCGTCGAATTGTCGTGTGGGCCAAGTCACAGTCACGATCCGGCCCAGATAAAACTGACCCGCAAGTTGGACAAAGGAAAAAGTACACCGAAGGTCCCTGAACTTGTCACCGAGTTATACAAACATCATCAAACTACAAAACCAGATATCCGATATCCCTTAACTAAGGGTCTGTTTAGTTGGGGAAATATAAATTTTTGGGTGTCACATCGGACGTTTGACCGGATGTCGGAAGGGGTTTTTGGACATGAATGAGAAAACTAATTTTATAACTCGCTTGGAAACCAGACGAATCTTTTGAACCTAATTAATCCGTCATTAGTACATGTGGGTTACTATAGCACTTATGGCTAATCATGGACTAATTAGGCTCAAAAGATTCGTCTCACGATTTTTCCCTAACTGTGCAATTAGTTTTTATTTTTATCTATATTTAATGATCTATGCATGTGTTAAAAAGATTTGATGTGATGTTTTTGGGAAAAAAAATTTGTGACCTAAACGGGGCCTAATCAAAACTGGTCACACTAGATCCTTCAATGGTTTTGACCCTGGTTTATCTGACGAGACGGCTAAGTCAGTGTGGGATCCACGTGGGCCCCACATATCAGGATGCCACGTCGTCTCTCTACCCCTCTTCTCTCCCTTCCTTTCTCTCTCCCTCAATCTTCTTTGCCGCGGGAGAGGAGGGGCGCGGCGCCGCGACGGCGGTCACGGGGAAGCATGGCGGCTCCGAGGCCTACGGCAGAGGCCAGCGAGCGAGCAAGCGAGTGAGCAAGACACGGCGGAGGCGGAATTGGCGGAGGCACGGGGAGGCCGGCGAGCTCCTCCCAAGTCCAAATCCACCGTCGCCGGCGAGCACCACCGCGTGGAAAGGGAGGAGGTGGGGTGGCCGCGGTCGTCGGCGAGGAGCTCGAAGGCGGGGCCCAGAGGAGGCGGTGGCTCGGTGGCTGCCGCCCTCGCCCAGCTCCTCCCCCGGCGGCAGACCGCCGCCGTTCCGCTCCGTCGGCCACCGCGCGCTTGCCCGCCGCTCCGCGCCACCGCTTCGCTCCGCCCTCTGCCACGCGCTCGCCCACCGCCGCTCTGCTCCGTCGGCTTCCGCGCGCTCGCACGCCGCCGGCCGCCGCTCAGCCCCGCTCGCCGCCGCCCGTTGATTTCGAGCGTGCTCCTCGCCCAGCGCGCCGTAGGCCTTGTTCGCCAGCGTTCGCGGCGAGCTTGAACCGCCCGGCCTCACCGCCGCGCGCGCCGGCCACGCCGTGCAGGTAGCTATCGAGTTTGTGCCACACCAGCTCGTTCGCGAGCCTTCTCAGGTACGGCGACTCGCCCGTGTCGATCGCCAGCTCGGTGCCCACGCCGCGGTTCGGCGGCGCCGTCGAGTACCTGGGGACGACGTCGCGTGCGTTGTGGACGCGGAGGAGGCGGAGGCCAAGGCCACGTGCGCCGTCGAAGCGACTCTTGAAGCCGTGCCCGCCGACGTGCGGGTTGGCGAATACGAACGCGGTGACCGGGGTGCCTGTTGTATCCGTTGGCGACGATGTCGAACGCGTTCAGCGTCGCGAGTGCGGCGCCGAGGTTGTGTCCCGTCGCCGTGATGCTCAGCTCCTCGTCCTGATACATGCTCACCAGCCTCGCCACCTCGCTCAACACCTGCATGGCAACATCCATGTCGATCAGTAACAATGTTGCAGGTGACAGTGCCGCGCTACTCCGGCCATTACCTGATCTCGAGCACTGTCCTTGTTGTGGCCATTACCGGCACGGCGACGCACGACGTCGCGTACAGGAACCTGGTGACGCGGTACGCCGCGGCGTGGCCCCGCAGCTGCGCCCACTCGAAGAAGCGGCGTATGGCGAACCTCGAGAGGCCCGCATGCGGCGAGAGCTTCTCGCGGTTGAAGGCGTCGTACGTCGCCTGCGCCATCTCGCCGTAGCGGAATGCTTGTCCGACGTGGTCACAAGAGTGAGAGAGAGAGGAGGAAGGGACCTATTGTGACTCAGCACCCTGACATGTGGGGCCCACGTGGGTCCCATGCTAACTTAGCCGTCACGTAAGACAAAACCAGTGTTAAAACCACCAAAGGATCTGCTCTGACCGGTTTTGATTAATTAAGGGAAGTTGGATATCTGGTTTTGTGGTTGGAGGATGTTTTTATAACTCGACGACAAGTTGAGGGACCTTCGGTGTACTTTTTCCTTGGACATAATACCGATCGGCCCATGTAAAATAGGCAAGTCTGGCCCAAAAACAATGAGGCTCGCTCGTATCAGAAACAGGCCGGCCTAACACCTTTCTGGGCTTCTGCCCCAAGGTACGAAGCGGCCTGGAGCCCTGGAGCGAACGTTGTTACAACAGCTAGATGAAAATGATGCAGATGAAAACTACCCAGTTGTTACCACTATATATTTCTATTGCCTGCAGCTAGATGAAAAAAAAAATCGAAGCTTTGCAGCAAGCTCAGCTCTCAACAAATATGTGTATCGTCGTCATGTTGACAATTTCCATGGTATTTGTCTGTCAATTGCCCACACCAAACTGATCCAAGAGCTCTCTCTCAACAGAGAGCTCTCTACGGCCGGACTTCGCCGGAACCGCCGCGCACTGAATCGAGCCAATCCACCGTAGCCCTCCACTACGACACTGGAAGGCCGTTCACCTATAGGTCCCAAAGCAGAGCCAACAGCCCAAAAAAGAAAAACAATTAAGCACGGTGGATTCAAATTCACTGCCAAACCAGAAAAAATCTCTGCAACGGGCGCTTACCTTCATCTCAATGGATGAATAGGGTTGTACCGTGGATGGTAAAACAAGCATGGAACTATCAATTACAAGTATCTTCTATAGTGCTAATCCAGTGCTATATATAGTGAATGGTTTATCAATGTTTTCAGTACTGGGAAAACTGAACTGAACTACTGACGCAACAAGTCATAGTTTTCAGTAATGCACTAGGGAGGTAAAACACACAAAACTGAATTTTCGAGACATTTAGTTCCCACAGATTGAGTTCCCACTGTTCATAACAAGTAACACAGTTTAGATCAGCAAAACAAGAACTCTTTGATAACCTCACAACGTTTACATCAGCAAATCAAGAACCTTGGATGTGTATCTGAGACTTCAACATTTATCGTTTACCCCATGAAAAGAATAATAACAATTTAAATACAAGAGGAATGGAGGATTTCAACTACTGGTAAATGAAGTTGGGTTATTAGACATTGACATTCCAAATAGAAAGTTCACCTGGTCCAATAAAAGATGTCCTACTTTGGTAAAATTAGATAGAGTGCTCATTGATACCAACTGGGCTCAAGCTTTCACAGCCACATCAGCTAGGGCATTGGTGGCTACAACTTCTGACCACATACCGATCCTAGCAGAGTTCTCAGATAACTGGACAAAATCAGATATATTCCGTCTGGAGAACTATTGGTTACAAACACCAGACTTCATCTCTATGGCCGAAGCTAGCTGGAGCAGAGGAACTAGAACAATGACAGCGATCCCCCGTTTCAACCACAAACTCAGACGCCTGCGAGCCAATGCAAGATTCTGGAACAGAAATAAACGAAACCTTCCAACGCTTCTGGCAGCCAATAAAGACACTCTGGACTACCTGGACAAGATTGAGGAATGCCGTCAACTAACTGATCTGGAATTCTATCTTCGACAAAGGCTGCAAACAAACGTCACAGGACTGAACGGCCACATCACACTAAAATGGAAAAGAAGGGCCCGATCAGATTCTGCACCCTGGGAGACGAAAACACAAAGTTTTATCATACAGTGGCATCAGTAAATAGACAAAAAAATTCCATCAGATTGCTGATTGATAATGGGGTTGAATTCTACGACAATAGCCAGAAACTGACCATTGCAACTTCTTTCTTCCGACAGATATTCAGTGAATCTTCTTCATCAGACAGAGACTTTGCTCTATCTCAGCTTTACCCTCAGCCAGAAAACCTACAGGATCTGTGTCTGCCTTTCACCAGAGAAGAGATTACCAAGGTCATTCACAGTGCACCAAATAACAAGAGCTCTGGACCTGACGGATTCACAAACGAATTCTACAAAAAATTTGTCAATAAATTACTTCCTGATCTGCAAGCAATTTTTCAAGACCTGTTCAACAACAGCATCGACCTCTCTGGTGTTAATCATTCATATATTACCCTCTTACCGAAGATAGCAACAGCAGTTCAGATTAAAGACTTCAGACCTATTTCACTATTGCACAGTGTACCAAAACTTATCAGCAAAACTATCACAATCAGGTTGCAGAAGGAAATACCAAAGCTGATTGACCCTATGCAGTCAGGCTTCATTAAAGGCAGATCAATCACGGAAAATCTAATCTTCGCCTCAGAGCTAGTACAATCAGCCCTAAAGAACAAAAAACCAATGTTAGTTCTCAAATTGGACTTTTACAAGGCTTTTGACACTGTCAGCTGGGATGCTTTGTTTAGAGTTCTTGAAACGAGAGGTTTCCCGGAGAAATGGATTGGTTGGACCAAGACACTCTTATGTTCAGGCAAGGCTCAGATTATCATCAATGGACAAAAAGGAGAACATATATAATACAAAAGATGAGTTCGACAAGGAGACCCTCTATCACCCTATCTTTTCATTCTGGTTGCCGATGTGCTTCAAAAGATGATTCAGCAAGCCTACAACACAGGGGTCTTAAAACACCCTCTAGATATCGACGGGGCACCACCAACGTTACAATACGCAGACGGCACCCTAATTCTGTTAAAAGGGGAAACAGATCAAGCAACAGCACTGAAGGAGATTTTGGATTCTTTTACAAGGTTCTCAGGCCTGCAAATCAACTACCACAAAAGCACCTTGGTGCCAATACACCTAGCTGAAGAATCCAAGGAAATGGTGACACAGATTCTACAATGCCCAACAAGCTCACTGCCATGCAGCTATCTTGGATTACCCCTATCAACCACAAAAAGTACACACAATATGCTGCTACCAGTCATCTCAAAGGTCGACAAGTATCTGGCTGGATGGATGCCTCTATCTAAAGGAGGAAGACTCACCATGATAAATTCAATCATCTCGGCAATCCCAACCTACTACATGTCCTGTTGTATTTGGCCAGAAAAATCAATTGAAGCAATTGACAAGATCAAACGTGCCTTTCTTTGGCAAGGAGAAAAATCCATAAAGGGAGGTCACTGTCTTGTGGCTTGGAAGACTGTACTGCTACAAAAACAGCAGGGAGGTTTGGGGATCAGAGACTTGAGGGCACATAACACAGCACTGATTTTAAAATTAGCAAATAGGGTACTTACAGACTCCAACGATCCAATGGCCAAATGGTTTCGCCAGAAATATTTACAGAGCACAATTCAACTGAAGCCCAGAAACAATGACACGCCAACCTGGAAGCTAATTCTGTCTCACTTCCAGATCCTAAGCTCAGTAGCACAGGTAAAGCTTGGGAATGGCAGAACAACTCTATTTTGGAAAGACCAATGGATGCCACAACATCTGGAATATACCTACCCAGTTCTGTTCTCTTTTGCCATAAACAAAGAGTGCGCAGTTGAATCACAATTTAGTCACAATACTTGGCAGCTACAACTCCATCCCAACCTCTCCTACCAGGCAGAAACAGAGTTACAAGCACTATTACAAAACCTACAAACTATAAGCCCCTCTCCAGAGACAGCAGACACAAGAGAACTCCTGTATCCCAAGCCTTTGATCTCAACGGCAAATGCTTATAGACTGCTGACTTTTTCATGGATCCCTTTGGAATCCGGCTGATTACATATGGATCTACACAATTCCTCAGAACTGCAAGGTATTCCTGTGGCTAGCTTTTAGAGACAGATTAAATACCAAAGCCAATATGGTCAACAAAAAATGGAGTAATGATCCCCACTGCCCAATCTGCCTGGCCCTGGAATCAGCGGACCGCATTATCCTAAGATGCAGAAATGCAAACAACCTTTGGAAAAGACTAGGACTTATGCATTCGGCCAACAGATCTGAAACAATCTCTGACTTCATCCAAGCAGTCATTGACAGGACCCAATCAACAAAAAGGTTAGAACCAATCTGGTTTGCAGCATGTGCTTACACGCTGTGGAAATCGCGAAACAACATGGTCTTCGAAAGACACATGGACCATATTCAGAACATCACACAACAAATCTGTGATACCCTAAAGCTATGGTGTCTGCGAAGCAACACAGGAACTAGCCACGAAATTCAATCTTGGTGTGCGTCATAGGCAACAGCCTGCTGTTTATACCCCTGTAAATCCACCCCCACCCCCTTTTTTTTATTTTATTTCTTTATTTTTCCTCTCACCCTGTATCTCTGTAATCTTCTTGTTTCTTTCCTTTTCTCTATCTCACTTAACCTAAAATCTTGTAACTTTGAATCTCGTTTCTATTAATGAAATGACTATAAGGTAGAGCTGGCTCTACCTTCTTCGTCAAAAAGTTTTCAGTAATGCACTATTGAGGTAAAACACACAAAACTGATTTTTTTTTTTTAGACATTGAGTCCCCACATGTTCTAAGCATGACACTTTTTTGTGTGTTTTGTCTGCTGTTTTCCACAGGGAACTAGTAAATCAAAGAAGGGGAACCAGATAGAGATATGCAAAGGTCAATGCCTGAACAATTTCAGATAATTAGAGGCCAGCTGAACTAACGAGTTAACAATCTTCATTGATTTAGTACTATAACCGGAGGTAAAACCAAATCTGAACATTCAGAGATATAGCTCTTAATCTCCATTTTTTCTGAGATCTACCATACCTAGAAGATTAGTAACTGCGTTATTTTGTTGAGATGGAATATTTTTTTTCAATAACTCTATTAATCAATGTAAATTCTACAATGGAGTTGTTTTTTTTTAAAATTACCTTGCCCATGTCAGCATCAGCCTCCTTGGTCATGGTGAGGGAAATCGGTGTCATCATGGCCGTCGATGAAATTAAGGGTGCAGATGAGGCCGGGGTGGCTGGGAACACGTGTTCTACTGCAACTGCGGTGCTCTCAGCTACTGGTTTGGTGATGGTGCCACTTGTTCCCGACGCCGAACTCTTGGTGGGTGTCACGTCAGCCCCGTTCCGAGGGAAGAGCTGCGCACGCTGGACATCAAAGCAGGCAGCACCCATCATAGACGTTGCGTCCATTAGTGGCAGACCGAACCTTCCCGGTGTCGTAGCTTGACTAGAGTCTAGAATCAGATGAGAGCCTCAATGCCCCAAGCTCACGGCAAGCACCTGCACTGCCACTGCACCATAGGCGTCATAGACCTGACTAAGCACCTCGTGGGTCACCGGGAATAGACCATGGCTCACAGCGACGTGAAGAACAGCACTTGAGTCATGTCCCAATTGGCTCGGCATTTCACCGAACAGGTGGTGGGCATCACGTTCGGAAGCACCTCCATCAAGCTGTTGACCGCTTCTCTGGCCATCGGTGCTATCACACACCATCTCAACACCAGAAACCCCACAAATCGACGGCCCTGATACAATATTGTCAAGAACCCGCTTAATTCTCAACAAATCAAGCACAAGCACAAGAGATAAATCCACCTCCAAATGCAAATACTTAGTAACTGAGGATAGAAATTGGGGGAAATAGAAGTGTAAGGTGGGAATAAGCAATAGATTAGCAAGAAACAGGGGATCAGAGGGGTAGAGAATCAGAGAACCAGATTTTGAGGTGGAGAATCAAGAGTTCAGTTCTTGAATCTTGATCGATCCGCCCATGGGACAATAGCAGTCAGCCACTCTCCCAGCCGAGAGGGCCCAATCAGGCAGCCCACATAGAGGCCCAACGCCCATGGCAGCGCCACACACCGGCACGCGCCAACAAATCCATCGCCGCCAACACGCGCGAATCACAACAAGGAAGACCACACATAAAAGTTTATTCTTTTCAAAATCAGTGATTAATTACATCAATGTTATTATTAGTTAATAATGATAAATTTTTACATACAATAAATAATTACCTTTTACTACATCTATCTACAACTTAACTACACTAAATGTACAACTACAAATCTATCTATACAATAAAAATCACAAAGTGGAAAGTCTTCGAGCTGAGCAGAATCTTTGACTCTCGAATTGCGTCAGTGCTTCTTGTTCTTCTTCAGTCTTGACGACTTCACTTCGTCTTCTTCTTGCGGAGGCGCTCGTGCACCACGCCGCGTCGATCATCGTCCACCTTGTCCCAGACGACCGCCGGCATCCCTCCTCCTCCCTCCGACCAAATGCCGGGACACACGTACGCCTGCCGGCAGAGTGTGTGAGCCACCGAGTTTCCCTCCCGGTAGATATGCCGCACCTCCACCTCGGCGAAGCGGCGGAGGAGGGAGAGAATCTCCTCGTGCATCGCCGCCGGGATCCTCGTGTGCGGCTTCTCGCCGCGCAGGAGCTCGACCAGCACCAGGTCGTCGCCCTCCACCACGAGCCGGTCCACGCCGCACGACAGCGCGAGCCTCAGGCCCCGCATCATGGCGCGGGCCTCCACCACGCCCACCCCCCGGTGCTCCGTCGTCTCGGCGAAGGCCAGCACGACGCCGCCGTCGCACCCGCGGATGACGCCGCCGATGCTCGCTTGTCGGGACCCGTCGTGGAACACCGATCCGTCGAAGTTCAGCTTGTGCCACCCCGGCGGCGGCCGCGCCCACCTCACGATCAGCCTCGCCGGACGAAATGGCGGCGAGTAAGGCGAAAGTGGCGTCGAGCAGCGGGGAGCAGGCGGCGGCGCCCACCGGACGAGCAGTCCTCTCGGCTGAAACGGCGGTGAGGATGGGGACAGCGGCGTCGAGCAATGGCGAGCAGGTGGTGGCGAGGGAAAGATCGTCGGCGGCAAGAAAGCCAAACCACCGCCGCCGCCGCCGCCGTCATCAGGGCCACCGACGCACATCCGCTTCCCCTGCCAGAACCCTCCGCCATCGGCGGTGTGATTCTGGCGCTTCCCATTGGCGTTCTTGGCCCGCGCGTCCTCCAAGAACGCGGCCTCGTCGCCCCGGCCGTGATCCGCGAGAAGCATCCATGGCGGCGGCGCGCTCAGGGGATTGAACCTGAGGCCCGGGAGGAGCCCATCCGCGCCAGCAGCCGACAGCGTCATCATCATCTCGATCGCGCGCAGCAGCTGAAGAATTTAGGGTTTTTGGGAGGAAGGAAGCGTGGGCGAGAGGATTCGAGATGGGGAGGGGGAGCAGAAGAGAGCAGGTGCGAGTGGATCGCGTCGGCAAGGCGGGATTTCAATATATAGAAATGGCTGACGTCAGCGCGACATAGCGTTGTCAGCACGCGCGCGGGGGTTGAGGGTTTAACCGGGTGAATGTGAATCTTGATTTTGGTACTTGTTTGGGTTAGTCTCAAAATTCGAGCAGAAATCTGAGCTTATTTGCCATGGTGATTCTGATTTCTGTAAATGTTAGTATCTGCAGCTTAGTGCCAATCCCTGAACTTTTGAAGGGTTTTACACAATGTCCAGTTCTTCCGTTTGTTCTAAAGGATTTTATTGATGAGGGACAAGGGATCAGTTCTGAAGGAGGAAAAACAGAGTTTTTTTTCTTTTTATTTCTGAAAATCATGAAACTGAAGGTGAAAAACAGAGTACTGTGTATAGTATATGATGTTAACGAAACAGAGTACCTCTTCGAGAATATAAAGATTTGATCTTGAGCATGAGAATGGTTTCTTTATCGGAAGGAAGTCATTGCAAGTTCAGCCATTACAAACACATAAATAGATGTCAATCCTTTTATTAGATATAATCAATGAATATGAATACATCGATGTTAATGATAAATACATCTATCATCTATGTCTACAACTGATAGGACCGGACCAATGAAATTAATTAGCTCTACATGTTCAACTACAATAATCAGTAATCACAAATGAGAAAGCACCATTTCGCCGAGCCGGCCGATCGATCGATTTGAGCAAAATCCTCAACTTTGCCAAGCCGCCGTTGCTCGCCGTCGCCTCCCAAGTTGTTGCTCTCGTCACACCTGCTTGCGGCTGCTTTTTGGGTTAAAGGATGATTTTTAATTTGGTAACAAGATGAGAGACCTACAAAACAGCGTCGCCGGCGGCTTGCCGCCGCACTCCAAGTGGCCGCCGCAGTCGCCGGTCTGGCGCTTGTTTCATCAGCATGGAGACACCATGACACAAGCATATGCAAATGGATGACCACCACTCAGCACTCAGCAGGACCAGCGCGAGTACAGAACGAAAAGCAAAATACTCCGTACTAGTAGTAGTACTCCCTCCTTCCAAAAGTTTAATTCCTATTTCTTTTTCATCAAGACCAATAAACAATTAATTTATTCATCATGTGATAAAACCAATAAACACTAAAATGACTTCTTAATTCCTATCAACAATTTAATTTAGAATATAATAACTATAAATAGAACTTAGACTTTTGGAAAAAATCAAAGAATGAAATAGGTCTTAAACCTTTGGAATGAGAGAGTATATTACAATCTATAGTAATCGAAGTGCGGCTTACGAGTCACGAATCACGAACAGATGCAGGACGCTACTATCTCAAGCATCGATCACAAAAAGGAACAAGCGGGACCATTTGATTTCTCCGAAGCTGCACAGATGCTGGAAATAAATCGAGGGCTTCGAAACCCGACGACACCCCGGAGGAGTCTATCGATGTCTTCCTTCCGCGATGCAGAAAAGAACAGGCAGTGCAGAGTGCGGGTTACCTGCTGGGGCGCATTGTGGCCGGGCGGGGCGCGGAAGACGTCGGCGTCGAGCGGCATGTCGACGGCGGAGCCGAGCTGGCGCCGGTACTCGCTGGCCGGTCTCCCCGGCGAGGCACGCGGTCGCGCCACCACCGCCGGCCGGCCTGTCCAGGGAGATGAGTGAGAGAGAGAGAGGAGGAGGAGGAGGAAGGGAGAGGAGGGGAAAGAGAGCCCGATGGCGTGGCGTCCTGACATGTGGTGTCCACGCTGACTCACCCGTCACATTGGATAAAACCGGAGTCAAAACCATCGAAGAATGTAAAGCGGACGGTTTTATAAGTTAAGATATCATATATCTGATTTTGCGATTGAGGGACGATTTTTTAATTCGATGACAAGTTAAAGGACATTCGGTGTACTTTTTTTCCATCTGAAGAAGTGACAAAAACTAGACTTTGAATAGGACTCTGACTCGACGCAAAACTTACGGCCCACTCAATCTTGGACGGGCGCGCTACGGTATCGTGTGGCTTAATCCGGGCCCCACTAAATTCGGCAAGGTGGCCCACTATGGCTTAAGCTGCGATAACTATTCAGGCCTTACACTTTTGTGGGCTTTTGGCCCAAGCTACGAAAGCTTCTCCTAGTGCATTAGTTGCGCCTACTAGGCTGTAGAGAAGAGAATTTTTAGCTGGGCCTACACGTTTTGCTGGTCTTCAAGTTTCTCCACGACTTAATATATTTTTAAAAATTTATGGAAACATATTTTTGTTCCAAAATTTAAAGAAGTATATACTCATGTCTACTGTGAAAGAGCCATTTTTCTTATAAGAGTAAGCAAAATAGTTTTTCGCGGTCAAATACACTTATATAGATTTGCACTGCAAAATGCTTTGATAATATTCTAATTTTATCCATTACGAACATATACATGAATGAGAATTATTGGTTGCAAGAATGCAAGGTACTAGTATCTTGCCAAAAAAACAAAGTTAAAAAAGAAAGCTATAGCAGGAACTATGACAAGCTCTACAATTAATCGTAAAAGAGATGGGTCAATTATTATAGCTAGCAATTAACCATACTATTTAACTTGCTCTAAGTTTCAATATTAATATTTTTTTTGAAGGGAACTCTTAAGTGTCAATATGAACACGATACATTTGTTCTTTTTTAGATGTTAGTATAAAGCTAGATGGGCACTTTTTCTAAGGGGTGTGTGTTTTCGTAGGGTCTAGTTTCTCTCTTTTTTTTCCCACTGGGTGCATTATCTATGGAGTCAAACACCACAAACTCCGAGGCAATCTACATTGAGAGAGGGCTCAATATTGGTCAAGAAGGGGATGGAAATGATTCTTGGACCAAAGGATCTGTTTGACTCCTAGTCATTTGCTGTTGTCTCAGAAGAGTCGCCCCCCTAGTGAAAGGGACTCGATTGGATTTATGTGATGGCAAGCTCACTCTTGGGTCACAATAATGGAAACGTATCCTATACACACAGGCCCTCGCGTGTACACATCGTATACACCAACTAAAAATTATCATAAAAAATTCTAGAAAAATTCATACATGTACTTTCAATAGTATTACATCTACGTGCAAAGTCGCATCTTCAAATTCATTCTACATAGAAAATAACAAAAAAGATAAAATTCTAACAAAATTGCAACCTTAAAACTGTCAGATTTTTTGTTTTTTTGTTACGGCTAAAATATAATGAATTTGACGTTAAGATTTTAACTCTAGGTGTAATACAATTGAAAGTATGTGTATGATTTTTTCTAGATTTTTTGGTGATATTTTTTAGTTGGTGTGCACGTGTGTACACGTGAGGGCCTGTGTGCATAGGATATGTTGCCCACAATAATTCATAGCGTTTGACACTATGTGGTAACCCAAACCAACATTTTTCCTTCTGGGGAGCAAAACAAGCGGCGCCACTTTATTCGCAGGAGTATAACTGTGTAAGACCAGTTAAAGTACATGCAATGTTGGTATAGCATCCTTCACAAACGAGAGGCTGCACAATTACAATCACGCCGAAGCAATTGTTTGCCTGCCTCCCCTACACTACACCCCAAAATCCAGCACCCAGCTGAGCCGCTTCATCCTTCCTAATCTAGTAAGATCCAATTTTATTGTGTATATCTTGTTGTACTTTTGGTTGTGCTTTTTGGGGGCACTACTTGGTTTGAAGTTTCTCTCTCGTCGGCTTGGAACCCGGACACGATGTGTATCACAACACTTCTCATGCTGACTTCCAATAACTGCAATGTTGAGAGAAAGTGTACGGTTTAGGCATGCAGTTCAGTGATCGATTAATAAAGAAATGAAATGAGATGTAGAGTATGAACCGGCAGATAAAAGGTGAATAATGCTTACCCAAACATGAAATGTAACTCCCATGGCAACCGCGCCATATACACCAGGTACATGTTACTGGTCCACCTCGTCAGGTAAGATGACATTGTTTAGGTATACAAGACGCATCTCATCTCTCCAAATCTGAAAATCACGCAATTTTCTGATCAGCTAACGCGGCTAGCAAGGGAACATGAAAATTCAAGTTTTTCGTCCAACAGAAGTGAAGGAAATTTGTTCGTACCAAGTCCCTAAACTGAACCCTGATGTGAGGCACATTAGTTTTATGAATATCGTTCCCTGTAGGTCCTCTTTTGTAATAGTTCTTGCCAATCCAGTGTGCCTGCAATAGATGAAATGATGATATGCTTCACGGTGCCATATAATGCATTACTTACAGAGCATATCAAGCAATAAGTTGCTCAACCATAATTTGTGAAAAATGGTTTGTGGCTGAAATGAATGTAATAAGGTAAAGATCACCAACGAGCTTTGAAAGTAGTTGACAAAGGTTGTTTACTTGCCTTGAGAGCATGTGAAAACCCTGATTGATAGACAGAGTTTCTAGCTATTTCACATAAATCACAAGAACTGAGCTTCCAGAGCTGAAACAAAAACCACAATAAGTGAGTTTGTCCTTTTGTTCGAAAAAAAGTGGTTAGCATTTTATTTGTTCCATGAACAAGCATAAAGGTGCACACTGAACTGCATTCATGTATGTCTTGTACATGCACATATATAAACATAAGTATGTACATTAGTGTCTGCATAAGATGAATAGGGTGAGGGGAGAGGGAAAGAGGGAGTACTGAAGCAGCAATGCTGTATTCTTCCACCAATGGCTCTTTTGTCAGGTGAATTTGCAATGGATCATCCGTTGACAGGGAAACATTCAGGCCTCGTTGGAAAAACATTGGGAAAGGATTCCGGTGGTAATCAAGAAACAAGGAGTTGTTGCTTAATGGGGACATTGCCAGACCAATCTGATAAAATTGAAAGCAACAGATTGAAGAAATGATAGTGACTTAAAAAGTTTCTTAAAAGCAAACCAAACTGCACTAATTAGATAAATCTGTCATGCTTTTTACTCATAAAATTACAGCTACAGAGGTTTTTAAAAATCATGCTGGATTATGAAAATATGAAGAATTACCTGGCCAAGATAGTATAGATATTGAAGCACAGGAGATTTCCTTAAGTTGATTCCATGCGATATATTGTGACAAAGAAGAAATGTTGCTGCCAAGTGATCGATGTCTCCAGCCTGTGACACCATACAGTTATAGACAAACACAATAACAGAAAGACAGTGGAACATTGAAGAGATTCTACCTCGCCAGCATGTGGACGGAATTTGATTGTGGTCATCCCTTTTGATTCACGCAACTAAATTGCACAGAAGTGTTACTTTTCCAGCAAAATGAGGAAAATTAGAGGTATGAGGGCAATTTTCCTACCTTATTGAGTGTGTATAAGTTAGCATAGCAGTAATATGCATAATATGAAAATGCTGGGTTGAAGACATTGGTCCATTGTTCAGGTGTAGGCATATGCTTTGTTGGACGCCTTTCAGGTTTACTCTCATCATCAACCAAATCTAACCCTACAACCTGCAAGGCCAAAAAAGAGTATCCTAAAGTTGCCTGCTTGTGATGTGTGCGATATTAACATATTTAGTAGTTTTAAATAAAAATAAAAATTACCTAGTCCCTAGTCATTTCCAAGATAAAAATGAAATTCAGCTGTTAAATTAACCAGTATAGTTTTATGAAGCCCACGAAAGAGCATGAAACTTGCCTAACTACCCTACAGTGTAAAGATGGCTCTTTGAGTATTAAAACAAGTCATGATTGACATGAAAAGAACTGATTCACAACATTTGATCTGTGAAAATTGAAATTGTGGTGAGAAATTAGACAGCTGGATTTTTTTCCTTAGAAATTAGACAACTGAACAGCCTCCCAACTAAACCAAAACAGCTGTCCAAATGACATACAGGCCTCAAATAAACATGACATGTCGCCCATCATCATTTGTTAAAGCAAAGTCACCATGTAATCTCCTAGAAGGCTAGAACTTGTGCTACATAATAGTGACTGTACCAAACATGAATTTACATTAAAAAAATAACGAGTTAATCTTTACTACATATGTGTTAATTCTGAGACAAAATGCACAGCATCAATACAAACAACAGTTATGCAAATCACAAAATAGTGAGAAAACTATTGAACCTGCTTTAGGAAGACGTGAAGCTGCGGATGAGAAGCTGGATCAATGGTGACCTCAAACAGAGGAAGGAAAATGTTGTCCAGAAGAGTTTGGAATGATGTAACAATACCCATTTCCTTGTACACATTATATAAGCGTGGGATCTGCAAAGGAATGTAGAAAAACAATTATCTGAATGCAACTCCGAATATCAAATATCATAAATATATCAGTAACATAACGAGGTGTATACCACTTTGAATAAATAAACTAAAGATTTAATTTCACAAAGAATTAATGGTTTGTTTATTAAGATCGCTCACAGATCATAAACCAATACAGAACACAACTAGTCATCCAGGTAGCCTATTTCCTATAAATATCAGATAGAACTTGCAAAAGATCAAAAGGAAGCAGATACAGAACACAACTAGTCATCCAGGTAGCCTATTTCCTGTAAATATCAGATAGAACTTGCAAAAGATCAAAAGGAAGCAGATATGGAACTTTCAAGATAATAAAGGTGCACAAATCTGATGTAATTTACCCTTCTGTTAGCACAGTTTCATCTTTTTTATTACTTTACTTACACAAAAAGGTACTCCCTCTGTTTCATATTATAAGTCGCTTTGACTTTTTTCCTAGTCAAACTTTTTTAAGTTAGACCAAATTTATAGAAAAATATAACAATATTTTCAACACAAAACAAATATATTATCAAAATATATTCAATGTTACATCTAATGAAACTAATTTGGTGTTGTAGATGTTGCTAAATTTTTCTACTTGGTCAAACCTAAAGAAGTTTGAATAGAAAAAAGTCAAAATGACTTGTAATATGAAACGGAGGTAGTAGCAAACTACTTGCCGTATGGGAACTGAAGAAGCAGAAGGTGGCCCAAATATTGCTACCACACCTTGAGTGAAAGTGTGGGCTAACAGAACTAGTCAAATGAAATTAAAAAAATGCAACCTACCGGTTATTAGCTTATGGATTTGAAAACAGCCATGGATAAGAATTGATATTATGCTAAGTCATCATTGTAAATGCTAGGTAGAAATACATCTACAAAAGTATGGTTATCTCTGTACTACTTTAAAAGCACAGTCGTCCTCCTTTCATCCCCTTCTCACCGTGCGCGGAGGTTGTGCGCTTCTTCGTGTGTGCATAACCACCGTATGATCACTTTCTCCTCAATCCACCCACCCATGTCCCATCCAGCCAATCCCCATTCCCCAATTATATGGGCCTGACCCATTGCAAAGCACGGGCATATTACTAGTTTACAGTAATAGCACAGAAATAAATCAAGAAAACAACAGCAAGATAACAAAAGCACAAAATTGTGGTATCCCAGGCAGCCAGGCCGGCTGGCCCTCATTAAAGCAGAGAAAGGTAAATCTTCCTAACTATTCCCATTTTTCTTCACGCTTTACTACAAAGCAGTGGCATTATGCAGACATAACAGATGAGTAAAGCACAAAAATCAATTCAGAGTATGTAGGTTCAATAACTGCAAGACAATTATAGAAATTTCTAGAGCTAAGTACGAGCAGAAATAGTGAAAGGGTACCTGAACCAGCCAGACAACATTTTCACTGGACAATTCATTGTTCACTATCCAGCTTGCAAGGTTGTCCCATTCACTTTGCTTCCTCCCATAGATTGAAATCCTATATTCAGCCATCTGGTGAAAACAAAAATTAGAGCAGGTTAAATATGGATATCTCAAATAAGCATTACATTTGCATATACCAAAAAAAAAAGAGGAGTTTACCTGGTATTTACTTGCTGTAAGGTCGGAGAAAACTTGCTTTGTTAGCTCGGCAAGAAAACGACCTAGTTTAAACCAAACAGCAACAGATAAAATGTTAATAAAAGGAACCAAGACAGCTCTCAAGGAAACATAAAATATAGGACACGAGTGGATATAGTAATCAATCGTGGTGATTCCCTCTCAAAACAGAATAAGTGCATTTCTTTACTACTTCAAAAGAACACATCCGTAATGGTGAGTTCACACATTTTTTTTACTAAAATTACCCATCTTTGCCATCTCACTTCCAACTCTGCACCCATTCCTTTGCTATGCATTCCCATCTGAAATTTCAGGACGTACAGTTACAAAAACTCAACTATAGATGGGTTTGAGAATTCCCTTGCAATGCATGGGCATGTGGCTACATATACAATATGCGCTAAGTCTTCCAAATGAGAATATGTAGGTATTTTTCACCAAACTTGATAGAAACCGGAAACAGTACCAAACAAGCGCTTTACATTTAGCTTATATTTATGTGGAAGTCCATTCTTCAAAGAGAAGCTGAAGCTTAAGGATGGGTAGGTTATGGATTTATATGGTCAGGAGTCAGTAGACCATAAGGTCACCAAATATATTTAGGTCTTATCATATAATCTAGTTTACAAACCCCGCAAATCAACTTATTTTAGATAGGGTGTGAATTATATGGTTAACAAACAATGTATATCCCCCACCAGAAAAAAATGTATACCAATATAAAGGCCTAGCTTAAGGCTTTAAGCTGGCTACTGTAGAAAATCTGAGCACGAAGCGCAAGAATTTCACAGCTTTTCTGCAGAATTTGGATGAAGTTAGCACCATTATGGAGGAACATGTACTATGGCAGCTCTAATGTACCTGCCATATCTGAAGGTACAAGTGCATTTATTCTAGTAGACACTCCTAAAGAAAAATGTTTAAGCTTTCTTGGGAGGTTATTTGTTGTGTATATAGTTATCCAAGAAGTGATCTATAGCATCGCTTCTCTTTTAACAATCAATCAATATATTAATCTGTTGCCAGATTATATACTAAATCTGTAACAGCCTTACAGCCATTTCATATTCACAAATTGACTTTCAGATATGGTCATTTTGATTTTCCACAATTCCCTACCCCTGTGAGGCAGCAATGCTGAATGGCCACTTCCTCTAAGCATACATAATGTAACTAAATTGAACCTCATCATGCCAGTCATCAGTGGCAGAGTCACGTCCAAACCTGTGAGGCCAGGTGAACAGAGTTTTTTGGAATCCAGTACTGCTTTCTTGTAACACAAAAAACTTCCAATACTATAAAGGAGTTCAGAAAAGGGTTTTGGTTCTGGCTTCGCAACTGTCTCATATATCTCAAGGGCATGCCAAATCATATGCTCTTTCTAAAATTAATTTTTATTTCCAAAAGCTGAGACATGGCCCAGCACCCTTTGGGCATTGATCAACACGTGAGACACGATCCAATATGTGACATGGCCAACACACAAAAGATCAAGTATTTGTGTGATGCACTCTTACAGAACAAAACAACTCAAGTGGTGTTTCCATCTTAATTTTGCTAGTGCGCTTGTGCAATAACCTGTGGAGTTCAATTTGCTAAAATATTACCCTTAAATTGCATTTGCTGGATGCCATTGTAGTATTGAATGACAAGAAATTCTCATGGAGGTCACAAAAAAAACAACAGCGGATGTCCAGCAAGATATGCATTATTATTTGTTATTTTTATGCAAAATGCCATAAACCAACATAAAACCAAGACCAACCAGATCTCTTGGGCAAATCATCAACTTATCAACCATGCAACTCAACAGCTTAAACACTTCCATTTTTGCTTTTGGCATTTGGTGATAATGAAAATAGCTAGCAAATACATTGGTTTACACTTCAAAGGCTTAAAATGTCAATAGTTTAACTTCTAGGTACAACCTTGTATGAAATGACGCTAATCACATGCTTATAAGACCTAAATAAAAACATTAGCATAACGCTGGAGGATATACCAATGGAAATATTAGTGGTAACTGTGCTTCATTAAAAACAACTGGACAGGATTAAGCAGAGGTTACAAAATACAAGTAGTTTTCAATGTAACCACTAGCTTGAATGTGATAATGTTTGCATCAAGGCAATGCACCCTGCTTTTATATGGACATACATCTATATGACTCCCAAGGACAAACATTTTAGGAGAAACTGCAAGCCCGTTTAGCAACAACAAAAAAGGTAAGATGCACAAAAGTGTCAACAAAATAATTGAAACAAGCGATACCTTGGATAAGATTGTCCTGTTTGAGGAAAATCTCTCTGAGCCTACTTTGGCCACACGGATTGTACTTAAGGTTGAATTTGTCAAAACGATGAAATGTACTTTTGTCCGCATGGACATCTAGTAAATCAACATTCAAGTCATACCTAGAAAAAGAAAACGAAGAATTGATAATCAACTAAATAGTGGTTCCATCATTATATAAAGTATAAACATAGGATAAAATCCAAGCTCTCAAAACACACCCAGTTAAGTCCAAGCTCTCAAAAACCTCCTTCAGAGTCATATAAGTGCCGTCTCTGAAAATGACAACCTGAATGGCATACCATATATAGTTATGATTATAATATGATAAATGGTTTGTCCATAAGTACAAGCTGCAACAGTCAGTTCAGCAATTGTTTCAAAAATATACCTCATCAGGTTCTTTCCTTAGTTTGGATTTTATAAATCTCAGCAAGTGTTTTTGATTCATGCACGCTGAGTGGTGTACATGAGTATCAACCTTCCTGACATTGTAAAAATCACGATGTGGTGCAGTCTTCTGGGCAAGAAACTCCCTATCCGCGTTTAACATCAAATGAAATTTGAATTTCTAGAAATGAAAAAACATTCACACATACAGAATTTTAGGAGTCAAGTTTATTCACCAAGGTAAGCAAGGGGTCAATGATTTGACAATATGATTACATGCTCTAAAAGATTTAACCGGTTATGGCACACGGTTCTTGTGTTTCCAGCAGAAATCACACGGAGCATATAATGCAAGTCAGTAAAGAAGGTTGTCGCATCAGCAACAGGATAAAGTATTTCCGTATCTGAGGCAAAATGAGGAAAATAAATGAGTCATAGGAAATTGAAAGCATCTGGTCAAACATATGAAGCAAAAGGGCTAACGGGCAGTGCTCATTACAGTCTTTATCTGCATAGACATGGACAACACCATCGACCATTTGGAAAACATGCTGAAATCATAATCAATGGCAGAAATCAGAAGGACAAAACAGAGAGGAAGAATCGAAATACTGAAAAAAAAATGAACTAGGCTACCTCTGATTTTGGTTCAGGCACATAGGTGAACGGATTGGGGTCAGGTTTTGGAGTACAGGGATCATTTATGACCTCCTTCTCCCATGGAGCAACCTCTTCTCTAAAAAGATAACAGTCTCTTAACTCAAGGCACTTCTGAAGGAGCTTGTAAACCTCAATCTCATCAGGAGACGGAATCTCTACATAAAATGTAAAATAATATTATGAAAGAAATTACTTTGGATTTGGGAATAAAGGGAAATGAGAAGAATTAATTCAAAAATATTTACTCTTACTAACAACGAAATTTGATGTATCCGACTAAAATTATATGCATTAAAATACAAAAGAATTACTGACTAATTGACAGGAAAAATATGAAACTAACATGCATACATTTCAATAATATGGTCTCCATGAATTTTTACTAGTATTCCAGGTTCTTGACTTGCACCTAATAGTTCAAAGAAATGGAGAACTCCATAGTCCATAAAATACAGCATGTGAATATTTTATCGGACAAATTTTCTTAAGAACAAAAATGGTAGTGCTCATAAAAAATGGAAGTATAACAAAATTAAAGGATATTCATACAGGGAGAATATTACTGTTCTGTAAGATCTAATACCATACCATGTGGAGCAGTTAACAGCTTAATAAATGATTCTTGCTCAGGTTCTTTTCGAAGAATGTCTGCAGCAACTGGATCAGGTTGAACACCATGAAGATCATTGGATATACTATGAGACCGAATCAAACTTGCTGCAGCTAATGGCGCTGCAGCCCCATTTTCCAGTACTTTGTTTCCTTTCTGTTCTCCTTCCTGATTGAAACATATATGATCAGACATTAAAAAAAAACAGAATCAGTCGCAGCCATTGTACCAAATGAAAATCAGCAAATTTCCCCCAAACAGAGAGAAATATCAGCATATTTGGGCACTTGGTAGTCTTTGCTGCGGCTGTGCAGTGCAGCAGCATCACAGCCAGCTGAGCAGACGCTTTATTCATATCAGCACCAAATGCTATTGGTTGTACAGCTAAAGTTAGCAATATGATTTCTTCTACCAAGTCACTAACTGTAGAATGACTGTCCGAGGAACTCACATTTATCTCCTGCCGGTTACTAGGTTTTGAGTAATATAAAATCTGCAGGCTAACAAAATCTGCAGCCAGCAAATACAGATAGTGTTCAATGTGTGTAGTACCTTTTTATAATGCATGCCAGCAGTATTGCCTAGCTAGATTTATGTGGCCATTGTTGAGCCAGTAAGATGTCTTTTGTCTAAGGTAAATCTAAACGACAAGAAGATAAATCAATAAACTACAGCATATAAAACAATGCAATAATAGATTAAGAAAATAGATAACCACAAGAATCGATGCTCAATAGATTAAGAAAATGATAGCCACAAATTCACTTCCTTTATGTGCATGATATACTGATTGCGCGTGCAAAACTTGATGCCAAACCTATTTTAACTCCAAAAATATAGGCGATTAATAAAGGAATTAGGAACTATATAACAAGAAAAACTGTAATGACAACAGGATGGCTGAAACTTACAACATTTCCATTCATCTTCAGGTAGCCATTTTCAAGTTTACCATTCGGTTGTTTAGCATCATCCTCATCTGATCCTTCTACACTCTCAAAAGCACTTGCACTGGCAACAGGGGACTTGGGTGAATTTGGTTTGATTATTCCAACCCTTCTGTTTGAACTTGAACGGACAAGCTGTTTATTGCCTGCAATAACAGCCTGTTATTACCAGTATCATTCTAAAAGATAAAAGATGATCATGTCATATCATATCATACTAATGTAAATAGCCTGTTTTCAAAAGAAATTGTAGACAAATAAAGAGGACAGTGTATCACAAGAGTACAGTTGTATCTGCTGCTGATTTAAGCACCGAAGGCATTTGCATCAACATATTGACAATGGATTTCGGAGTTGATTAAACACTCTTTGCAACAAGTCTGTAATAGATCCTGGAGCAACACTAAGGACCAGCCCAACCTGCTAGCCTAAATAACACATTTGTCAAAACATTAACGAATAATCAATAGGTTACTCAACCTTCAGAAGCTACTCCACTGAGCAAGTTACATGTTCCATCATTAAGCTAGCTCTTAAGCCTTACCCATGAGGACCTACCATCATCCTCCTATGTTTTGAACAAAATTCCACATTTCTTTATTGATAACCAGTGTTCAATAGGTGCATTTCAAAAAGGTACTGCTCAAACCCACTACACACAAGAAGCATGTTAGTGTATCTAAGCCCACACTAGCTTCATTCCATGCTAAGGATTACCTCGTGCACGAAATCCTTCCCTCTTTCTGTTTTTGAAACACTTCCAGAGCTTGTTATACACAGTTTTCATGGTTCCTAGAGCTTGAATTTAGCATTCATGTTCCATCCAAACTATTCGTAAATCCATTTCATACTATACTACTAGATTTTCTTCTTCTGCATTAAAATTCATACTAACTTCAGCACTAAATGTCCACCAGAAGAGTTATGGGAAGAACACTTGATTAAAGCAGTAAACACAACAATGCTTTCCTCCTGCTGACACACTGCGCATGCACACTCGGAGGCCATTATTTTGCAAAGCTAGCTTAGCTTAGCTGTCTCCCACTCCAAGCCAACATCACCAATACCAATCCTATCCAGTCGAGCCAAAGCCGCACACACGCGCCCCACACCGCCCACACGTGTAAAACCAGAGAAGGGACAAAACTCACCGTCGGGCCCCACGTGCAGCCTGGGGAGGCCGAGGGGAACCGGGAGGCACGCCTCGGCGGCGTCGGCGAGCTCCTTCATGCCGTCGTCGTCGTCGTCCTCCTCCTCCTCCTCCTCGGCCACGGGGTACCTCCTGGCGGCGCCCGCCCCTCCGACGCCGAGGCCGACGGAGTAGAGCGAGGAGAGGTCGGGGAGCGAGGACGATCCCGCGGGCGCGCGGCGGGGCGGGGGCGGCGGCGGCGCCGGGGACTTCCCGGCGGCGCGCGGTGGGGCTCGGCCGCCCCCGCCCCGGCGCTGGGCGGAGGCGGAGCGGGAGAGGCCGTCGCCGAGCTGGGCGGCGACGGAGCGGCAGTGCAGGTAGTAGCCGGAGGCGGCGGCGACGGAGGCGCCCACCAGCGCGGCGCAGGCGAGGTGGAGGCGGTAGGAGGGGTCGGAGGCGTCGGAGCCCATGGTGGTGGTAAATGGTGGGTTTAAGGGCGGGATTAGGGAGGGAAGGGGGGTAATGGGATGGTGGTGGGCGGAGGAGGCGGAAGGGGGTGGGGGATTAGCGCGAGAGAAGGGGGGGTATTTATAGGGGCCCGTGGAGATGGTGACGTGGCGGGGACCACAGGTGGGCTCCGCCTCCGCGTGGGGACGAGTGAGGGTTTAATTAGCTTGATGCTCGAGTATTAATAAGTTAACTGAGTTAGATTCTTTGGTTAAATGTTGGTTAGAGAGTCTAATAGCAAGTTCAATAGTATAGCCCACTACCCCTATTAGCTTTAAATCATCTATAGCTAATGTAACAGCCAATTTATACAATAGTTGTTTACTATACTATTAATAGATAGTCCTACCTGTCATACACATATTGCGTCTTAGAGTCCGTGCTGTAGCTGAATACAGATCTGTAGCCCGTTGCTCTTCTCTCTCTTCCTTTATCTCTTTAAAATATGTTTATAGCTGGCTCATAGCCTGCTATTGTACCTGCTCTAAGAGCAAGGATAATAGTATAGCTCACTTCCTAGTATTAGCCTATCTTAAAGCCAATATATATATAATAAATTAGCTATAATTTTCTTCTCCTCTCTCTATCTCTCACTTATAAATTTAATATATTTGTCTTGGAGTTTGTGATAAGCTAGCTCTTGCATGAAAGCCAACATCCTTGATTTTTCACTACTTCTCTCGTGCACCTAAGCTTATTGTTGGCTTATAGCTCACTATTATATTTGCTCTAATACTAGTGTACTATTTCCTCCGGTTGATAATACTTGTCGTTTTGGACAAGGGCACGGTCTTAAAAAAACAACTTTCACCATTATTTTTTATTATAATATGTATATAAATGTTAACAAATATATGATTTTATTGGAGTATTTTTTTAAGACTAATCTATACATATAGTCACCATATTTCAAAGATAAATATTTTTAAAATTATTTATAACCAGAGATTTAAAATTTGACCTCACCCTTGTCCAAAACGACAAGTATTATCAACCCGGAAGGAGTAGTATGTCTTTAGAAAAATATTAGAAGCCATGTAAAATTATTAAAAAAAAAAGTCGATCATCAACTTGTAAGGCAAGTGTTAATATGAATGGGTGCCACATCATTTAAAGATACACATACAAATAGAGCATATAGTAGGTAGCTATTGACACAATAATCATGAAACATATTTTACCAATAGATTTTCAGCCAAATCACTTCACACACACTCCCATATCCTGTATGTAATGCTAGTATTTGTTAGCGGTGACTCTGACTTGTGTCCAGATTCATCCCTAGCATTTGAATTTGTTTTTCTAGATTCATCCTTAGCATTTGAATTTTTTTATAAAGGGAGTAGACTTTTAGCCAAATCCCTTTTTTCACACTCTACTATATCCTACGCATTGTTATTTACTATAAAAATTGCTCGTGCATTGTAACAGGTGAAGGCTATTTTAATTTTACTGTTATTATAGGTTTAGTTAAGGCAAAATTCATTGTGAGAATTCGTTTGGATATTTTTTTTCTAGAAAATCGTGAGCTGCAATTAGGAGTTCGATCATCTCAATTTAGCATGCAAGTTTTTTCTAAAGAGATTTCTTATACGACTGCTCCTGTATTTTCAAAAGCGAACGAACTTAAAACCCGACTCAAATACACATATGTATTTCCAAAAGCGAGCAAACTTCAAAACCGACTCATATGTAGATGACATACCAAAGTACCGGCGAAAACATCTTCAATTTTTATAATAGTTTCACTGTGAGGATTCGCTTGGATATATATTTTTTTAGAAAATTATGAGCTATAATTAGGATTTAGGAGTCCGATCATCTCAAGTTAGCATACAAGTGTTTTTAAGAGATTTCTTATATGACTTCTAGTATTTCCAAAAGTGAACGAATTTAAAACCTGACTCAAATACAGATCTATATTTCCAAAAGCAAACGAACTTAAAAACCGACTCATGCATGGATGACGTACCAAAGTATCGACAAAAACATCTTCAATTTTTATAATAGTAGAGACTTGCGTTGGACCTCACTTTCTTCGAGCTCATGTGCAATTAGTTAGGAGTACTATTTAGTAGCCAACTCACCCTTTCTCTCCTCATCTCTCTCCTTAGGCTCTAGCTAGATATGCAATGTTATGTGGTTTCCTTATAACTAGCCCTTTTATCATTATGAGATAATCCAAGAAATGCCATTGACAAGCGTCCAAATCCAAGAAATACCATCAACAAATGTGAGTTCCAAGAAATGACATCGTGTAAACGACTTTGTCCCAAAAATACCATCGCCGTTAAGGTTTCGTCGATCCCGTGCCGTTAAATACACTGTTCATCCTATAGCACTTAACAGCGCAGGATGGACGGAACCGTAACGGCGATGGCATTTTTGGGACAAAGTCATTTGTACGATGGCATTTCTTGGAACTCACACTTGTTGATGGTATTTCTTGGATCTAGCCGCTTGTCAATGGCATTTCTTGGATTATCTCTATTGTTATTGTACTGGTTCGGGCAAGTATAGCAGGTATAACAATTGAGTTTAACAGTAATTCCTAGATATATCAACTAGAAACTCTCTTTTTTTAACAATTGAGACAATAAATGATTTTAACCAGATATCTCGGCCATGCTACGCGATCTCCTTATAACTAGCCATTTTTTTCTTATTATACTTGTTCAGGCAAGTACTCGAGTTAAGTATTAAATCCTAGGCAACAAATGTTAAGTAGAGACTATCTTCTTCTAAAAATTGAGACAATAAAGGTTCTAACAGTTACCCACAAAATAATTTTATTATCCTTTCTTTCTTTTCCAGCATCATGAAGAAATTTTTCTCCTTATCTTCTTCTAAAATTTTATTGGTCTAGTTGGCCGATTATGTGCCAGCTATTGAGTGTTGTTGTACATATCCTAAGTGTGGGGTTAATTTTAAGGCCTTGCATGTGTGAGGTATATGTAACGCAGGATTAAGAAGGGTATGTAAGGAAGCAAGGACTGTTTCCTTCTGAATCTTTCATTCATAGTTTTGTAAAGAAAAAATAGGGGGCCACCTACAAATCGGGGGCCCGATTTTTTTAGCAAAAATCGGGCATTGTTTCACCAAGTAGATCGGAATTGTTTCACTAAGTAGATAAAAAATGTTTCAATATTTTAAAAAAGTTGAAACACAACCAAATCACCTCGTGAAACATTTTGCTACAACGTATGAAATAACAGTTTCCAAAAAAAATTGGGCGTTGTTTCACCCTATATAAAAACAATATTTAGCAAATAGCGAAAGGATATTTCAATTCACTGCAACGTGATCCATACATAGTGAAACATCACGATTACACTTGCTGAAGCATTGTTGGTGGAACAAAAAAATGAAACGGATTCACTTAATAGAGCGTTTCCATAATATACGGGTGATTTGTTGCAACGGCGCGTGTAGTGGGGCGCGTGGGGGAGACAGCGGAGGCGGCAGGGGCCTGATTTTTGTGCTAATGATCGGGCGCCCGATCGCTAGCGTTTTCCGAAAAAATATATATGTATGATGATTCTAACCTTGTGAAGGGCATTCACGAAAGTAACTTAGTGTTTTTTTTCTTAATCTTCTCTCATAGTTTGGTAAAGAAAAAACTATATGTAAGGACAAATCTAAACTTGTATAGGTCATATAAGGAAGTAATGAGTGTTCTTCTTTTTTAACCTTTTCTCTATAGTTCCACAAAGAAAAACCTTACACGTAAGTACAAACCTAAACTTGCTAAGAAAGGTAAGAATGACATTGGTATTAGCATAATGTAACTAAGGACATAAATGTTAGGCATAGTTGTTTAGTTTTGGGCATAAGAGGTACTTCTGGGACTCTTTTTTTATCTTTACAGAATAAGATGAATTGCAAGGAACCTAACATGTAAGGAACAAAAATATGTAAGCTATTAACTAAAGATAAGGTTGTGTTGTGATGATATATTAAAGAGATTAGCTTCAAACAAAATAATTCGTTCACCTAAATTGTGCCTTCAAAGAATGACTTTTAAATTGTAAAAGGTATAATAGTCTTGTACTTACACCTATGCGAACCTTTTTTTTTTGCTTCGATCAATTCAATGAATTTTGCATGTTTTAGAATATTTCATCCGAGGTGTGCAATGACTGTGTCAACTTTTTGTAATTTCTTACTGATGATTAAGCTAATAACATAAATGTTTAGAACCACAACAGTGGTGTTAATAGATTTGTATTTGAATATATATCATATGATATTAATTTGATAGTTGCTAAGGGTATAGTATGAAAAAAATGGTTAGAGTTTAACATCGGAGCTAGTACATCAAACATCATTTCCATATTATCAATCCTCATGGTGGTGTACGAAATTTGAATGCATCGGCTATACATTTTTTAATCTTTATTTGATGTATTTTTGTAGGTTGAATATAAAGAAAAATATCAAAAAGTATGGTATTAAATCACATGCTAAGATAATAAATTCAGGACTACTCTATTAGCAAGGATGACAAAGGAAGTTAATGGAAACAACAATTTATTTCTTCCACTACCGCCATAGTTTCTTAAAAATTTTCCCATAAGGTTATAAAATGACATTAGAAATATGAGGACCGTAATTGTAGTTGTGAAACTTGCTTCAGTAAGCAAATAAACTCAAGTGGTTGCTTTATTTAATTTAAGATGAACAATGATACACATGAAAAGGGAATAAGGATGAAATTACAACAAAAAAAGGCATAAAAATGAAATTGTATCTGTTTGGATTTAGATATGTGCAAGTAAGAGATACTCATGAACTCTTGTATGTTTATGGGATAAGGTGAGTTCTAAGGAAACTAAAGTGCAAATATAAGGGCCAAAAAAATTGGTGAAAGCTTCCAAGTAATTATAATATCATGTCATATGGTGCAATCATTAGGAAATAAGGTATAAATAAAATAGAGAATTTCACTTAAGTATTCCTTCCCAAGTGACTTTTTTTTAGATGTAAAAGGTTTGGCAGTCTTGTAATTATATATGAACATTTTTTTCGTCAAGAAATAAAATTA